TCTTTCCATCGGCATCAGATTCTGATTCTGTAATCGATCTTCATTCATGTAGTAAATGCTTAAAAAAAAAATTTAGTCACTTTTTCTGTCCTACCATTTCTTCCCTCACTAAAACCATTTCAACACTATTCTCTGTTTCTCTCTCTCTCTCTCCCCAGAAGCTCCCTCTCTTCTCTTAATTCTCTCTACCTAGCCCCTTAGGGTTCATGGAATTGTTTGCAACAAGGCAAAGAAGAAGGATGAGAAACGAAAGTAGAAGCAGAATAAGGAAGGATATTGCTAGCAAGGAGAAATTAATAACAGAATGAATCCATTTACCAGATAAGGAAGATCTCTTAAGACTAGTTTTATTCTAGTTTTGATTTTTTGTTTCTATTAGATATATGTAATTACATCAAAAAATGCCTTTTATATCCCTCACATAGTCTAATTTTCCATACTTGGTCTTACAAGAGGTTTTCGTGTCTATATTTTTATTTTAAGTGTCTAATATGCCTATTTCACTTAAAACTCTACAAAAGTATTATTTTAGTAAAAAATGTTAATTTCTTTGGTGCCAAATTGCATAATGTAATATTACTTGTATTTTTTATGTTATGCAGATCTCTTCAGTAAGCATGTAGTCAAAATCTCATTAATAAAACTTATGTAAGACTTGGTCTTGGTTTTTCAAGACTGATTATTACCAGTAATTAAACTACTAATTACAAATAATTAGTCGTAGAAAGACTAATCCTCAGATTTTTCAGGCAAAAAAATTGGCTAAAATTTAGTAAAAAATTGTTTATGAGCTTCTAAAAAATACAAAATGGATATCTTTATTGTTGTCAATTCCTATCCTTGATACAGCCTGGATCTACCTGTAGAGCATGTACTCCATAAGAAACAAGTGAACCAAAGCCACTATAGAGAATGGGTAAACCAAAGGATGGCGGGCCTTCCGCGACATGGGAGAAAGATGTGAATATTATATTTTGTGATTTATGTCTAAGAGAGATTGATCTCGGCAATCGACCAACTACACACTTCAATAAAGAGGGTTGGACGAATTTAATTAAGAATTTTTTTGAAAAAACTGGAAGGGAGTATGATAAAGTTCAATTAAAAAATAAATGGGATCAGTTAAAAAAAGATTGGAAATTATGGAAAGAATTGAAGCGTGGATCCACTGGACTTGGTTGGGATCCTAGGAAGAAAACCATTGACGCACCTGATGAATGGTGGAAAGAAAAATTAGAGGTAAATAATAATTTTATATGTTTCATATATTAGTCTAATTCAACCTTTATGTTAGGTCTTCTAATTTCATAAATTGAATATTTCTGTCTAGGTAGTGCCAAATGCAAAAAAGTTTAGATATAGTGGCATTGATCCTGAGCTTGAAGATAAGCTAGATCTTATGTTCCAAGGTGTTGTTTCTACCGGAGATCATGCTTGGACTCCAAACCAGGGACTTAACCATGAAAATGATACTGAAGATTCTGAACACACTGATATAGGTTCTGAGTCTTTTGAAGATCCTTCACAAA